ATACTTTATGCCTCCTGCAATCCTTTGATGACTGAATTAGCTAAATGAGATTGAAATGAGGAGTGATTTATAATGGGCTGTAATGAGAAATGAGTTCAGCTGCCTTCCAAACAATCGACAGGGAATAGATTAGTTTTAGTAATGTAGTGATTTAAAAGAATGGAGAAGGGAAAGCATTCCCCTTTGATCTCAGTGAGAGCAAAGTTTCCTTAGACATGATCCGATCCCAATAAATACGCAGCAAAAAGTTCATATAATGGTGCTTTTTTTACCCCCTTCACAAAACAAGAGCTAGTCCAAACAAAGTTACTGAGGTTTCTACCAGAAGTCTCATTGCCCATTGCTACACAGCCTGTGAAAGAGGAAACTTCCCCAGATTCCAGAGAATAACGGCAAATTATTGTGAACTTGAGTTTACAATACAGGAATAAAAAGCACACCTTAACTTGCATGGGAATTGCTGTAGATCAGAGCTACTTTCTTCATGAACTCTATAAAGAAAAATATTTGTGTTCAGACATCACACTAACTTATGGCTTAACATCATGTGCTTATTTTGTACCCCGATCCAGCAGAACTGGAAGAACGCACCCAGCTTTCTCACAGTGAATCATCTCACCTAAGTTAAACTAGTCCCGGGAGTAAGGTCAACCACATTGTCACCTGAGTGTATTTGGGAAGGAGGTGATGGGCCAGACCCAAAGAGGATGCAGGCAGGGCTGAGCTGAGCCCTGGGAAAGGGAGACCTGACCAAAACAGGTATGTCACAGCATGGGTATCCAAAGGACACTCCTTCATGTCACCTCCTCCAGACACTTCTGCCTACCCGCAGGCTCCCCATCGCAGTGAGATTAAGTACCTGGAGAACTCGCCCCTCCATGGCCTTGCCCTACTTGCACAACACCTATCTGTCTCTCTGCATGTAAACTGGGTACAAAACGTTACCCTCGGGGTTTGGTGAGTACAGATTGTGAGCGCAAGCAGGTCTGGATAAAGGAAAATCAGAATGGTGATTTATTTGTATTAAGGCAGCCTGCTATAAACCTAACGTGGCTGCTCACGTAACCTGGGTAAGCAGCAGACTTCACACCTGTAGCGTGAAGAAAACTCTTTTCATTACTAGTGGTTCACTTACATTTCACACGAAAAACTCCACAGTACCTGTCCACTAATGGCAAACCATCTGCCCCTGTATATGGCCATGGGTTACTTTCACACACACACACACCCCGGCATGGCTGCAGTGTGGGGCGAGTCAGGGATGCTTTCACACCAGTACACAGGACAGTAACTTGCACTAGCCTCAGCATTGTTTACAAGATCACTGCCTCTGACTTCTCCCACAATAGCTCACAAAAAGACCCTTCTCACACTGGCGAGAAGCAAGCATTGATCTGACACAAACTACTGACTGGCTGCAAAAATATTGATAGTGCATTTAGCAACAGTGCCCCAAATCTTTGCAAATGAGAGTTCAGGCTCTCCAATTATTTTCTCCCATTATATTGCCTCATTCTGCTATGTATATTAACTGGCTGGTTTGGTTTACTATTTAGCAGCTGGCTTGCTTTTAAGCTAAAGCTCATTCCCCTTAACAGAGCTTCTGCTCTGCCAAAAGGTTAAACAGATCTCATTATCCATTTCCTGCAGAGACCTAATTTTTACAAAAGGCCTCGAGCAGGGCAATACAAATGGCAAGAAAGAAAGAAAGATTACAAGAAGCTGTTTTCACACTTAGCCAAATACCAAGAAGCACAGAGACCATTTGAAGTGCTGCTCTGCATTGGTCTTGCCAGCTGGGCAGAACATTCAGCCTCTTCTTGTTTTCAGTTATTCTCCCATCTGCCCCTTTCAGTGCAGCATCCTCGAATGGCATCGCCCAATGCATCAACACATGAAGCAGTTCAGAATAAAAGACAGCATAAGTCAAACTTTGTCTCCATTTCTCCTGAATTGTTACATGTTGCTCAATGACGCCTATTAAAGAGCAGGGAAGTCCCTGCTGTAGTCCTGACAGACAGCAGGGAGCAGGCCAGAAGAGGCAATCTTACCCTCCCCTATCCAATCTCCTGGGCAGGGCTGGTTCGCTCCTTGTAGAGGAAAAACATAACTACTGCCTGGGGGTGTTGTGTCATTCACAGGCACATGGTATCTGGTTCACCATGGCTGAACAGCTTTGGGCAACAAGATGCCCATACACAGCTCCAGTCCCTTTCGGGAGCTCAGGCCTCGTGGTGGTCCCAGAGCCCACACAACCCGCTGGGCTCTGTACAAAAGGAGAAGGCAGCTATGTTTTTAAGATCCTGCTAGAAGAGAAGACTGTGATGGAAACAGCCCAAAGTCCTGCCTCTCCCTTTTATTTATCCAAGGGTTTATTACACCACACACCAAGGGCATCAACAATTCAGTTCAATTCTCACTTCTGCCTGAGGGCCTCAAACCTGCACCGGGGCAGTGCCTGATTCATCAGGCATAAGCCCTTCTGGTGAGGGGGCACCATCCCATTTAAGATGACTTACTGTGCAGATAAGGGAACAAGAATCACTGTGCCAGTGCGGACAAGAACAAGCAGGAAGCTTTTGAGGAAGACTTGCAGAGTTTCTGGAACCCCATTTCCAGAAGGGGGTTCAAGCCACATACTCTAAGCTGGGAGCCACTGGCTAAGGTCCTTGCAGGCTGGTATGGTCTAGTCAAGAGATGCCATCCTTTAGCTTTCTCTATTATTAGCTCTGATAGATCCATAGTTAGTATCCTAAGGCTATCTCTGAAACACAGGTTCTCCTGATTGAACAACAACCTTTGGATCAAGCTCTTGACAACAGACTCCTGTCTCATTAGTTATTCTAGCTCAAGGTCTTGCTGCCTCTGCAAGATGCAAAGGACAGAGGAAGCCAGTCAAGCACTGGGACAATCTGAGGAGTCTTCATCCCTAGATGTTTCCAAGACCCTAGAGGACAGAGCCCTCAGAACCCTATCCAAATGCAGTGGTTGCCCTGCTTTGAGCTCCTTTCCTGCTCTAGCCCGTGAATGGTAGAGTGGTCTAAAAGACAGTGAAAGGGCAGCTGCAACATTATTGCTACTTTGCCTCCATAGAGGTGCTGAAGTGGGAGACAATAAAGAGGGAATAATAGAAGTAAAAAAGTATCCAATAGTGTATAGAAGTAAAAAAGTATCTAAAGTGTTGTCTACTCTTAAAATTAGATGTCAAATTGAAGTTGTCACACCAGCAGTACAAGATGGATTGCAGATTCTACCTCCCCTTCCTAGAAGGTCTGATAAACTTTAAATTAAAGACAAGTTGAGAAAAGTATGGCAGCTGTGCCTGCATCAGCAATTCAGACAGCTTAACAGCAGCAGATCTGGAGGGAGAGGCTGAGGATATGACACCCGTTCCACACAGATTTCAGACAGCCTTATTTCAGGATAGCTTTAGCCTAGGTCTTTGGACCAAATGCCCTTTGGGGAGCAGCTCCTCTAGCCAGTTTCCTCCAAAAGGAAACCAGTCCACATACTCAGCAGTCACTTCAAAGCACAGTTAAATGAGGACAAGCAAAAGATAAGCAAAATAAGCAGGCTTCTATGGGGAGGAAGAGATGTCATCTTCCTAGATTTGAAGAACATGCAGGTAAGTACAGAAAAGCATCAAGTCTGAGAGTATTTTGGATAGTCCAATGTCAAGAGATGTGGCAGTGTGTATGTACAACAACAATATTCAATATTTATCAGCTTGTATCCCACTGCATTTGGCTCACTTGCTCAGTTTTAGTGTTTTAGCTATGTTGTCAAAAAACACACAAGAGAGACTTAAGTGACACTCAAATCACCATTTGGATCTCAAAGAAGCAGCTCTCCATCAGGATCTTACAACTTCACCTGACGTTTAAGGAACAGTTATTTGTTGTTTGAACTACACACCTATTTGACTGGGGAGACAAGAGTACAGAAAACATGCTTAGAAGTTGCTACAAACTAATACAAAACTAAAATTTAAAAAAAAAAAAAATCACTGCTTATTGAGCATTGCGTTCTGTGCCATCCACCCACAGAATCCATCAGCATTATAACAAAACGTCCTTGGGGCAGCCTTGCTAGCAAAAGCTCTTGGAGCTTGTTAGCCCAAAAGCAGACAAATTGAAAGTGTAGGTGGACATTAAATCCAACCCAAAACAAGCAAGTAGCTCAGTGTCAGCAGATCTGTAATTAAGGTGGTATTTCAGTTCTTTCTTTTCTAAGGCTCCAATATTATTACTATACCTAGAAGACAGAAGGCTTTAATATAGAAAGACATCAGATCTTCAAATATTGTTTTCTCTCCCATTTGGCAATGGTACTACTTAGTAATGCATCAGCCTTCTGATTTTGTGGAAGAAGTCAGCAATTCCACACTCGAGCGCCACCACCTTGAATTTTCTTTCCCAATTAGCAGATAAGCTGGTGCAGGAAGCTCAGCCCCCACAAAAGGCAATATGCCACTGCTAAATGAGAGGGGGTTCTGGACTCAGCAGGTCCCAGGAGATGCTGGCCATCACCAAGGCATCTCTCAAGATGTCTGGGGTCCCCCTCTCCCTGCTTCATGCTGGGCTCCCGCAAGCATGCCCCAGCAAAGGGCCACGTGCCATCTTCAGCAGCACTCACATCATGGGTCACCTCACCCAGCTCTCCATGCAATCCAGGCTGTCTGACATCTATGCATGATGAACCAAGAGAAGGCCCAACTAAGTGTTACAACCAATGGTTTAAGACCAGCTATTTAGATTCAATTTACACAAGTTAAGCTTATCAAAACCAGTGCACTTAAGGCCCCTTCATATTTCAGATTTTTTAAAGAAATCAGCAATTTACTAAAAAATAGTAACAAGAGACCTCTGTTTCTACTAATGTCTATATTTAAAAACTTCGAGTAAGATTTACTCAGGCTTCGTAATATAAAATGTCTTTCAGAATCTTAGGTGAAGCTGCAATAAATTTGGTGATTTTTTTTAAATAAACTTTTTAGTTTCTAGAAGTTTCTAGATGAATGGCTGTCTTGAAATACTACTCTTTCAGCAAGATCTTGATGAGCGTCTCCAGTACTTTAGGTGGGAACACTGGCTGCAAGTGTACTGTGTCAAACTTGGTGCTGACACAGAAGTTAGTCATCCTCTGAGTCACTCTCCCCCCTGGCTGGGACACACGCCCTGATTGAGGACATGAGCTGGTCCTGGATCTGCTTCCTGGGGTTCTCCTCAAGATCTGTCTTGATGGCGCCTGATTCCGAAATCTTCCACTCCAATTCTGTGGAGAGCAAAACAAGAGAGCTGTGAATCCAGGGGAGCAAACTGGAAAAGGCCCATCCTTGCTCCCCCAGCTGATTTCTCCCATCACCCTGCCATCACCACCACCCAAAACAGGGCCCTGCTCTATTCCTTCCCTTCCTCTCCCACCCCCAGGCCCCTGCCCCATCTCTCGCACCCACTCTGGCCGAGCCCTCCCTTCACAGTCACTAGTGCTGGCACAGGCTTCAGACCAGGTTACTGCTCTGCAGCCCACTGGTGGCATCTCCCCCTACTCTACAACTGGGAGTGTAAAGAGGTGACTGAGAGAGAGCAGCAGCTTTAGATGAGGCAGCCCTCCTGGTGCAAGTGAATCCCATCTCCTCCTAATCACATAAGGGCAAAAAAACAGGTTTGCACATTTGCTGCTGGTGAAGGAATACTGCTCATGTGTTACAGCTGTTTGTATCACATACCAAGTTCATCACAGGCACAAGAGGCAGGAAACAGATTTGCTGAGGGGCAAAAAAATGTAGCCATTCCATTTACACATCTGAATTATAGGTATTTTTCAGGGATGTACTTTATAAACACAATTCACCCCTTTCCCACTACACCATGCACTGATTATTAGTTCCTTAGTATGACAGTAAGGGAGAGCCCACCATCAGTAGTAGGCCTATTACTACGTAGACTCAAATTGGATTGCTTCCCAGAAGTGGTAGAAAGTCAATACAACACATTTAGTTGGAACCTTTCTCCTAGTCCTGCTGGCAACCCTACCATTAAATCCAATTTCCTTCAGACATTACAGAGTAACAAATACAACCTCACGCTTTCTTTAATCTCCAGTAGAAGTCACCTAGGCTCAGGGAGAAGGAAGAAATAAAAGAAAGTGCAGAATTTCAGTACCCAGCTTTCTGTGATGACTGAATTAAGCTGGTTCAGTCACACTTAGAACCCCCAAAAATCAATTATTTATGTGCTAAAAAAGGGCAAAAGCTAACTCTAGGTTCCACTATACTACTCACTTCAGTGCATAATTAGGCAACCACTGTAGTCAGAGTTAGTTGTTCTCAAATTACCCATCTCATTGACGAGAGTTTTCCCCTTATGACAGTTCAAGGCAGGGGAGCATTTTCTACAGGACATGTTCAAGATATCCTGTAAACTTCAGGGTTTTACTAAAAAAAACCCCACGTCTCTCTTCATCCTACCCCTGTGACATGCTGTTTGTCTGTGGTTCACTTAAGATAGAAATGTCCTTGAAGTCTGACCTTGAAAAAGCTTGAAGCCATCTGGACCGATATGCCTACTCAGAAAGCCAATGAGTATCCTTTTAACTTCAGTAAAATCCACTAGGTTACATCTGAGTTGCATTTGCTTTCCAAGAAGAGCCTTTTTCACTGCTGACCCCTGTCTTCAAGCACTGCTGTAGGATAGCATCCCCAACCAACCATCTCCAAACAGCAGCTTTGTCTGGAGAGCTATAGCACTCTGCAAGACCTGCTGCACCAGGCCACCACCCTCACCTCCCAAAGCACATCACACTGATGAGGCTGCATGACCCCCCAGCCCGCTAAGACAAGCAAGAAGAAATAGTCTAGGAAAAACCACAACCTCCAGGAAAGGTAAGAGCCTCTCCCCGTGGACTCTTGTGCCCCCTGAAGCACTGAGGCAGGAGCTTAATGTGCTGCCATCTCTGGGAGATGGCAAGAGGAAAAGGAAGCAGCCCAATTTCAGGCTAGCAGCCCCATTTGGACAAGCAGACAGGGTCTCCTTAAAGGTTAATGAGGAGACAAGCCTGGGTGTCAGGAAGGCACAACAGACAAATATATGACATCAGCTTGAAAATGAAACAAGAAGCCCTACAATGCAATAGGCAAGCACCAGTTATCAAGTGCACAGATTATCAAGTAATCGGGGACAAGGTCAGTCATTCAGGAACAAAAGCCTCAAAGGATGTGCATGGGTACTATATGCCCTTTCAATATATTGAGGAAAGTTTGTTTCACGAGACACAGGGTGTGAATGCTTGCGCACACGCAAAATAAATATCTATATGTTGGCCCACTCAGCCACTCGCTGCTTTTACAAATAGCCTTAAGCACACATTGTTCAGCTATAGGGCTAAAAAAAAATAAATTCTAATATAGTTTTTCATACCTCCCTTCTCCTCATAATCCTCACTTCTCTCATTCCCAACAAAGCAGTTTTGCTTTTCCTTTGGAAAACTGGAGATGCAGACACTTACCATCCCTTGTCAAGTTCATGCCACCAAACACCAAAGGTCCAATAAACTGAGCTTTGATGTCTCCCTCCAGGTAAACAAATATCGTAGGCAGGTTCTTATCAGGGTAGTTAGGAATGCAGGTGGTAGAGATAGCTTTGATGAATTTCACGTCTTTGAACTTCCTTGCAAGCCCACTCATATGTTGGTTTATTAAGGCACAGAGTGGAATTCTGTAAAGACCAACAACAGACACATATAAGAAAAAAAAACAAAAAGACAAATTAGGCAATAACTGCTCCAGAAGAAAGGTCAGAAATATCAGCTCAATGAGTAGCATTTATGGAAAGACAAATGTAGCAGAAGAAACTTCTGAATACTTTTGTTGTCCAATATTCCAGCATTCAAAGGAAATCAGCATCAGTGGAGGTTTTGGTGGGTGTTTTTGCCATCGGGTTTTTTTTCGGGTGGGGATTGTTTTAAGATATTAGCAACACAACCTTCCCCTGTGTCATACAGAGAAACTGGTTTATGAAGATATGATATTTAGAAATTGCATGAGCAGGAGCAAAATAGAAAAACAGCTCCTGGAATAAAAGTATGCACATGATGCCTCAAGTTGCACCAGGGGAGGTTTAGATTAGATATTAGGAAAAATTTCTTCACCGAAAGGGTTGTCAGTCATTGGAACAGGCTGCCCAGGGAAGTAGTTGAGTCACCATCCCTGGAGGTGTTTAAAAGACACATAGAGGTGGTGCTTAGGGACATGGTTTAGTGGTGGACTTGGTGGTGCTAGGTTAACAGTTAGACCTGATGATCTGAAAGGTCTTTTCCAACCAAAATGATTGTATGATTCTATAATAAACACCTGTGAGGCAATTAGAAACAGTGAACAAAAACAAGTATTTCTAACCCTTTCCAGAAAATTCTAACAACTTATCAGACCGTTTTGTCAAGTTTTTCCATCATGCTGACAGGACCAAAACTCCTGCTCGCTCCATTTTTATGGATCTAGAAACCAGGCTACAGACATACAGTGATCATTCTAATGCACAGTCCCTCACACTTTATCCAGAGTAATTTCCAAAGCTCAGTACTTCAGTCGCAGCAGTTGCCTCTATGGTAGATGTATGGTACAAGTCACACTGTGCTGTACAGATGTCTAAAAAAGCCACAACACTTCCTGGTAACATCATTTTAGAGCTAAGTTCAGCAGTCTGGAATCAAAAGTAATGAAATTACTAATGCAATTTTTTTTTTTTATTATTTCTTAGAACTCCAGAATCAGTTCCTTAATTTCTACCATAACTACACATTTGTCTAGAGTATTTTCAGCTATTGACAGTGAAAGGCTTAAAGGTTAAAAACAAATTCTTACCCCTGTTTGTAGAGGTGCAGGACTACCCATATACCTTTTCCAGCTTTGGTGACCTCTTGAACATAATCTTTTCCTGAAATCTCCAAAACTTCCCCAAATTTATTCTTCATTTGTGCTGCTTTCATTTCTGCTAACCTTTGCTGCCTGAACAGCCAGGAATGTTGAAGAGTGAGAATGAATGCATTTTTGACAGAACAACAATTAAATGAGCTGGTTGAAACCTAGACTTCAGAGGCACATTATAGACTTCTTCAGACACCAGAGCAACAAGAGCAAGTTGACATAGTCAATAGGTGCTCTTACATTTGCATCACAAGTTAAAGCCACCAACACGCAAGAAGTACAACTATGTTTCATGATTTTTTTTTTCCCCTCATTTCTGCCCTCAGCAGACATTTATTCTGCAGACAGACTTCCAAACTAAATGGCAAAAATTACAAGAGATGGTAGGGATAAAGAGATAATGGAAAGCCAACACTGTAATTATATAAATCTGCAGCACCTTGATCTCATTCATACAAAAATTGAAAAATCTTGGAGGTGATTTTCAAAGCTCTCAGAATCCCCAGCCACACACTCCACAGGTGCACATTACCTCTGCAAATCTAGGTGGTAGATAAAGGACACTGAATTTAAACCCAGTTATCCTATTAAAGACACTTAGAAGTTCTACAAGGCACCAGAAACACAACCCACCTTTTCTATCATCAGACCTAACAACATCCTTCCTCTCTTCAACAATATCTAACAGCGTATAAAAGAAAAACCCTCCAATTTTCATTAGAGCCAAATTCTGCATGCTGCTCTGACCTGTACATTTCAATAGCTTTCTCATCTTCCTCATTAAATTCATCTTCATTCTCTTCTAGCTCTTCCAGAGTCATGTCCTCATAAGTTTTCACTAGAATGGAAGAAACATCAAATCAGCAAAAAACCTCATTCCAGGATTAAAACTTATCAGTCCAATAGAATTTATTTACTTAAGGACAGATTAACTATGGGAAATACAGCTTTTTTTAAGTATTATTGCTTCTAGATTTTTAGAAAATATCACACACTGTAGACACATAGATGGAAAGACAATGATGTAAAGGACTCGGAGCTGAAGGCTCCCTAGACTAGCACACAAGTACCTGAGCTAGCTTTCAAGTTTGGTGGCTGCAGCAAAGACGTACCTAACACACCCAACACAGCAGGTGTGCCTGAACAATGGAGGAAGCATACAACAGGTAATGTCATGAGATACTTTTACTTGCACATTCACATGGCAAACTCCCTTTGCACTGTTCTTACTTCAGTTTTCAAACATTTACTTCTATAAAAATATGGAGCTGACATCTAGAACAAATCTTTCCTGTGCTGGAAGAATCCATATGTTCAGGAACATATTTGTTTGATGCTGTTAACAGATGATCACCCTATAGGAGACACAGCTTTGGTGTCTCTTACAGACATGGACAAGGACGCATTGCTTTCCAGGCATGTGCACATTGCTGCTGGCCATTTCTTTGTACAAGCTTCCCCCAGGAGCCATTCCAAGACTCGTCCTGCTCCTGCTGCTGAGTTGGCCTGGTCACTCACCAAGAGATTTCTGAAGGATGGCAAGCTGCTCCTCTTCCTTTGCACGCTCCTGTTCCTCCACGTTTTCCTTTGGAGGAAGGATACCTTTCTTGCGCAGAATGTCATTCCACTCTGTGTCTTTATTTGGGTCCTAGAACAGAACAAGAAATGGATGATGTGCGTTCAAGGAGAACTTTGCCACCTCCAGAAGTTAACGCAGGCAAGTTTTTCCAAGAGACACAGCACACTGCTAAAGTGGTAACTGTCTGGATGGCGCCATACGGTCACAGTGTCCATCCTCCTGATGCTGAGGCTTCTTCACCGCCCCAGACCAGTACTTTACTTTATTCCATCCCACTCACAGAATATATAGGTATAAAAGTTCAAAGCATTGTAACCATCGTTGCAGCTCTCACAAGGTGAGAGGAAAGGGGAGGAAAGCAACTGAGCGACAAGGAAGCACGCTGGCCACAGTGCTCGTGTATGGAGCCTCAGCAGAAAAACAGGCCACCAAATCAGCGGTCACTGCACTGGAAAGCCCCAGTGAGAAAACACACAGGCATCAGCCCTGCAGATCTAACTCTAGATATATGGCAAGTCTTCTTCGTAGATTCAAGTCAGTGTGACTACACGAGTGCTTAGAGAGAAGCAAGCCCACTGCTAGGGAATCACATCTAAACCTATGCCTAGACTGTGCTTAAAAGTAAAAAAAAAAAAAAAAAAACAAAACCACCAAAAACTCCAAACCACCTCACTTTCAAATAATTGCAGTCCTGAAAAACAAGGCTAACAAGCACTCATTTATTGTTGAGAAACTCAGTAGAAGTTTTTCAAGTTAGTGATTTTATTTCTTTAAACACCTGAAAAATCAGTGGTAAGCACTCACAGGCTGGTTTTGGTTCCTTACTGTCTTGACCTAAGTTAGCTTTGAAAACTGAATACAACATCTACTGCTTTGCTGTCACTTGTACCAACACACCTTACACTAGGTCTGCTCAAGGCCACATCCTCTAGGCCAAAACCCAGTACTTCTTGACTCCCCCCCCCCCCCCAAAAAAAAACCCCCAAAACAAAACAAAAACCCCCAGAGTACCATAGCAAATAGCAGGCCAGATTTTCTTTTTTTGTCTTCCACTATGGCCATTTTCCCCTCAACATAACATTTCACGATGCCTACTGTCGTTTATCAACATGCTGATAAAGTGCTTAAAACACCCATCTGCTTACTACTGTAGCGAAATAAATACTGTATTTAAAGAAAAAAAAACAAAAAACCCCCCAAAAAACCC